TCCTCTATAACTTTCCTTGAATAGTCCAAGTATCCCTTACATACCCACACCTCCTTCCAGTCTTTACTCAGAATTTACCTTCTTAGTGAGTCCTTCTCTGACAACCCAAACTCAAACTTTAACTTCTCCCCACCGTGTACCGCGTACTCCATTCTCATCTTTAATTTTTTTCTTTTTAGTACTTACCACTAAATTTTACTTTATTTAGTGCATATTACTTACATATTAATTGAAATGTTATTTTACTTATTTACATTATTTCTCTTATTAATATTGTGACTCTCCCATGAGCATACACCTTCCATCAGAGCAGGAATTATTTTGTGTACTTGTTTACTGATATATCACTTGGTCCTATAATAATACCTGGCACATATAGGTGATTAATAAGTAAGTGTTAAGTGATTGCAAAAATGTGTGAGTAATTCTATATATAAGAATTATAGTAGAGAAAATTCAGTGTTAGTATAAGGACCATGACCTTGGAGTTAGATAAATCTGAACTTGAATCCATGCTCTGTCACTTACTGGTTAGGCCTTGAAATTTGGATTAAACTGGCCAATTTGAAAAGGAGACAAAAGTCATTCTAGGCTGAGAGAACCATAAAAGCTAAGACAAGAAACTGCTTGGCCCTTATGGAGGAGAGCAAGTGATTTAACTTGGGTGGAGCAAAGAAAACATGAGATAGGCTAGTTTGAAATAAATGTGAAAATATAAATTGTTAATAGATCATGGAGCTTCCTGATGAAATTTAGGAGACTTGTAATAAAGGCAAAAGGAACTGAAGAAAGTTTTTTTGTCTTTTTAAAAATATTTTATTGATTTCAGAGAGAGGAAGGGAGAGGCAGAGAGAGACAGAAACTTCAATGATGAGAGAGTCGTTGATCGGCAGCCTCCTGCACACCCCCAACGGGGATGGAGCCCGCAACCAGGGCATGTGCCCTGACTGGGGATCAAACCAAGATCTCTGGAATCATAGGTTGATGCTCAACCACTGAGCCACGCCGGCTGGGGCTGAAGAAAGTTTTGTGAATGATATTATTAAAGCTGTTAACAATAAAACTTAATCTGATTCACAGGAGGCTAAGCTAAAGATAGTGATACTGACTGCAAAGCTATTTCTGAAATCTAGAAGACATGTATTAGGGTCTGAATCAGAGGGCATGTATGAGTATTGAGGGGACATAACTTAATGGAGAAATGTTGTGAAGAAAGAATTGACTTTACATGTTCCATTACTGAACAGCAGATCAATATGGAGACAAAAGAGCATGTCACATATTTAAGTCTCGATGGCTGCTGAGTAATATTCTCATTGACATAACAAAAAAGGACAAGAGACGGGTTTATGAGCAATGAAACAAAGCTCACCTCAGGACCCCCTAGGTTTGAGAAATCAGTGGACATCAAGGTATAGATACAGATCAAAGAGTTGAAAATTAGTTGAAAATGTGGCTGTAACTCAAGAGATACTGGAAGTGAAAACAAAGATATAATGGTCATCTGCATATAGCTTGAAGCCAGGAGGTTAAATTATATCGATGAGAGAGTGAGTATAAATAAGAGGGTCAAGGGTTCTTCCGTGAGACTCTGGTGCTAAGGGAGTTGGAAGAGAAAGAACTAAATACTGAAAAAGATACAAAACAGTAAGGGGTGAAGAGCCCAAGGAGTCTAGAGGTACGGGAACAGAGCTTCAATGCTGGTAGAAAGACTGAGAGCTGAAAAGGAGGCATCTGATTTAGTGACTAAGTATAATTATTATTTTTTTAAATATATCTTTATTGATTTCAGAGAGAGGAAGGGAGAGGGAGAGAGAGAGAGAAACATCAATGAAGAGAGTCATTGATCAGTTGCCCCTGCAGGCCCCCGAATGGGGATGGAGCCTGCAACCCGGGCATGTGCCCTGACCGGGAATCGAACCCCGATCGCCTGGATCCTAGGTCGATGCTCAACCGCTGAGCCATGCCCGGCCGGGCAGTATAATTACTTTTTGAATAAATGAATGAATAAATCATGGACTACAGAAGGTGGTAAGTGAAAGAAAGAGTAACATAATAGCACATTAACAAGATAAAGTGAAGTGGTGTGTTTGGAGAGAGGCAGCATGCACATGGGTGTGAGCGCCTGCAAGGGTTTTGGACAGGGTAGGCTCCAGGAGAGACAGAGAAGTTGAGGGTGAAAGAGATTGGGGCTCAGCCAGCATGGCTCAGCAGTTGAGCATCGACCTATGATCCAGGAGATCGACGCTCGATTCCCAGTGAGGGCACATGCCCAGGTTGCGGGCTCGATCCCCAATGGAGGGCGTGCGGGAGGCAGCCGATCAGTGACTCTCTCATCATTGATGTCACTCTCTATCTCTCTCTCTCCCTCTCTCTGAAATCAATAAAAACATATTGAAAAAAAAGAGTTCAGGGATTTTTGATGTAAGTTTAGGAATACAACGAGATAGATGATCGAAGTCATAAAAATACAAATTAAGTATAACTATAAAAACAATATTCTCCATCCAAGAATAGATGGCAGTTAAGTGATACAATGAGGGAAAATTAGGGGTTCACACCAGGTGGTATCTGTTCTTGGAGAAAATCTCATTTATAGGCAGGGATTCCAGGGTAAGTCAGATTGTTTCACCTCAACAGCTTCACACAAACTTCAATGAGTATAAATCAGATTTTCGAAGTTTGGGTCAAATGGGGATAACTGATGTTTCTAAGATACTGGAAACTTTCAAGATAATTAATGAATTTTATATTTTCCATAGGAGATATCTTCCCCATTATAAAAACTTTACCCTTCCTCCCTTGTAAACCAACAAGTAAACACTTGAATGAAACCATCTAAAGGAATCGAATTAGGCCTTTCGGGTCTTTTGAAGTGGATCAGATACAACCGATAGGGGGCAGTATAGGCTCAGCTCCTCTGAATAATTCTTTAAAAAAAATTTTTTTAGTAAATAATTAAGACATAAACTTATCAAACCTAACTATGTGTAACATTATCTTCTGATGGGTGACCTTTAGAAACAGGCACAATATATCATTCCCTGTTCACTGTAATCATGCCTTTTCTAAAAGATAGCATTAGGTTCATTTCAACAGATTATGTTAAATAAAACAGGTAAGTAAATTTGGTGAATATTTTAGGATGTATTAGATATTTTGTAACATTTAGACAAAGGTAAAGTGAAAAAAATCGAGTCTTAGCAAAATTAAGTTCATTTATAATTACTTTATTAAGGAGTCATACCCGAGCAGTGCCTTAATGAGGTGGTAATGAGGAAAAAAATGTGCTGCCAGAATAGGTATTAGAGAAAACCTTCTGGAAAAGGCAGCTCAGTAAAGTGATAATTGGGGGGGGGGGCCGCAAGTTTATTTCTTTGTCTTGGCTTATGCTCCTTTATTTTAGGATGTGCAAAATTAGTCTTTAAGTCTTAGAGTTTTCAATGGGCGGATGGTGATTAAGAAGAGCCTAGAGAGTCAGGGAGAGTAAGGAGGGTGGGAGAAAAGGGAAGGGGAAGAAAGGAAAGAGGGGATATATATGAACCAAAAATAGGTATAAAATAGCACCTCCCACCTCTATAAGGATTATAAGGATTTTATTAGTTCACATAATGTGGACACGTGGAATGCAGTAACAGTAATGTGTGGCAGAATTATTCGTATTTACTGATAATAAGAAAGCAGATTAAGGTTCTTGTTCAATTGTATACAATTAGCTTTGTGAAAATGTGGAGGGGAACTTAATAGAAGATAAGGCTGAGTCATGCAAATCTTCTCACCTAGTCTCCTTTGTTTAGCTTTGCAAGAAAAGTAGCCAAGGAGAGAGGGCATAACTAAGCCCTGAAATATGTTTCCCTGGGGGAATCTTTCAGTGTTACGAATTTTCAGCTTCATGCATCAATTAACTGCACCAAATAAATCACTGATTTATTCAAACACTGTCTTTAAAAAAAAAATCAATGAGTCTCTAAAAATGTATACATTTTGCCAAAAGGAGAAGGTCTATAATTTCTAAATTCCCATTCATAGTGTAGTTTTTATAAAAGTCACTTCCTCAAGAACTTTTCAAAGTGCTCTACTCAGCAAAATAAAGTTTTCTTTTAAAAAGAAATTCTAGCAAATCTAGCAATTCCAGCACATTTCATTTCCACACTCTAACATATACAAGGCTATAATTTCTTGTATTTTTAGGTTTCCTACAATATTGCAATGGTGGAAAACTCCACTGAGAAAATTCCTTGTGTGGAAAGTATTAAATAGTACATAGACTTTGACCCTGTTGCAGTGTGACTTTTTTGTATAAATACCACAGAACCTATTATGTACAAGTTTAAATTAGCCAACTTAAAAGAAATCATATGAAGAAGGTTGCAGTTATGGTTTTTTAAATAGAAAATAAATATATTTTATAGAATGAAAATATAATAAAGGCATCTACATAGGTTATATATTTCCTTAGCATATCATATATCTAGAAAAATCTCCCCAAATAGTGTAACTAGTAAATTTTATCCAATTTCCCAATTCTTTCAAAAGTTACCCCTATAAGCCTTTGATGAGCTTAATGATTGTTTATAACCATCATCAGTAACCTTTGTAAAAGAGAACTTTACAGGTAATTACACAATAAAAGTACAAAGCACTACTATGAGAATCCCCATTCATGAAGAATTAACATGTTAAACCTACAGTACTTCGTAAGGAGTATGTCTAATCACTGTTGCACACCTGAAACTAATATAACATGGTATGCCAACTGTAAGTGAAAAATTTTAAAAGTAATAAATAAAAAATTAAAGCGAAAATAAAAACCCCTAGAGAAATCGCAATAACAAAACAGCACCGTGGGGGAGTAACTAACACAACTGGGAATAAAGCAACAGCTCTTGATGGACAGGGGAAAAAGGCATTGCTCAATTCAAACAAACAAAAGCCATGTTAGATTTTCTTGGATGAAAAACTTCTTTGGTTTATAGAAGAGAGAGTAAATGTTGACAGACCTGTGAAGGAAATGGGCTCCGTGTGGGGTCAGAGGTGGTCACATAAGCAGCCTGCGTGTAGGCATAGCTCTTGAACCGAGGCTTAGGAGAGGAAGGAGTTCGTTCATAGCCCTGTGCTAGACTGACTGTGATCTGCAGAGAGGGGGGAGGAGACAGGGGAGGAAGAGACATTATAAGTAACCCTGAAGGGACTGCTTTCCACGACATGAAAAACCAATATTAAATGGAAACAGTGAGATGAAAAGTTTAATGGTAAACACATACAAGGCGCTATTAGAAAGTGGTACGCTCTGAGGCTTGTGGTGCGCTCAACGCTCAATGTCATGCTGGAGGGCAGGTAATCAGGGAAGGTACGAGGGTGGGATTTACCCACAGGACTGCACACTGACACGACCCCGGCACTAATATGGAACCGTGATCTTCAATCTGGCAAAAACAGGCAAGCAGAAGCAATTTTCTCTGAAGCCAAAGTAAGCAAAACCAGAATTCATCAGGTCAATACCCTGGAAAGGACTGAAGCTTTCATAAGCTAAATATAGAACTAGCTCAGTAGAGTGAGAAAATTAGGCCTAAGAGCTTTCCACGCCTCCAGCAGAAATTTAGCTAACAGATTTCTCATCATTGTTTGTGTTAAAAAAAGTACAAGAAAACACCCCAAGTATCCACTGCTGGGAGCCAGAACAAGCCACATAATGGAAGAATCCCACAGGGTTCTGTACAATGATACAATAAAAATCTTTTTCATATGTAGTCTCCGTTTAATTTTTATTTACAATATTTAAACTAATTTATCTTAGCAAAAATGTTACTTCGAATAATCAAAATTTGTCAATACATCAGCAGGTTGCCACTGAAAATAAGAATTATTCAATAGAGTACTTGCCTTCATTCTTGCTCTAATTCTTTGCTCTCTGCTCCAGTTGACAGAAAATTTAATGTGTATATGAGCCTATCTTTTATCTCATTTTACACATTGAAAATAAATTATATTCTGTGTTCCATATTCCTGTAATATGAGGCCTACTGATAGCAGAGTATGTGAACAATGTTCTTTGAAAACAATATTACAGTCCATGATAT